GGCATGGGGAGTGGTGGTGGTGCCTGCCGCAAAAAAAATACGTGCAACAAAGCCAACCAAAGGCTGCGGGGTCACCGAGCACTATTGGCCCCCCCCCCCCAAATGGACTCCTCTAGTCTAAAAACCGCCCCTGTTACAATTTTTTGTTTGTATTTGACTTAGGCCCCCCCCCCTAATAAACCCCCCCCGTCCAACTGAAGCCCCCCCCCCCCTCCCCCCCTGACAATTACTCCACAAAAATCATTCAATTTATTCAGTTTCTTGTCTATTCAATTCTGTTTAATCATGATGAACTTTAAAGGACGGATAGGCTAACGATGAGAACACCATGACGGGCCTGAGCGAGGATTCTGACATCGAAGTTAAGATTTGAAAGAGGCGATATGGATCCCTAGATGGCCTTGACGTATCGATAAATTGACCAGACAACTCGTGAAATTTACAAACTCTCTTGATATTTTCGCAAAGCAAGTTATATACTCTGGCTGAGTTTTTCAGAGTTCTGAGAATAAATGCCTCTCCGAGTACAGGCTTATACGCCTCCTCTTTATTAAAAGCTCCGTGTTAGACCTCTAAAACTGAATAACTACCTCGGTATACAAGCGTGTTTTTGTAACTGTAAAAGCAGGAAACTGAAAGGCCTTTGAGGCTGGTTCGTAACAATTTGGTGTGAGTGACGTAGGGGTATAAAGGGGAAAATCGCATCACCTTGTGTTCTCGAGGTTCCACTTAATTTCCACCTCCAATTCGCACGCCTGCCACACATCCACTGAAGAAGCACTAATCAATGAGAAGTACTATTCAAATATGGGCAACACTGACTCATGACGTCACGTTTTGATGTCTCTAACGTATTTGCATTTCAGGACACCAAAAAACCAACCAAAGAAAAGCACTGAGTCGTTTGATGTCTATGGGCATCGTCACATTAACCAGGAATTCCTACGACTGGTGTATAACATTCTAAAGCAACTACTTCCAACAGTGCAATACGACCTCTACGAAGACGTGGATGGAGAAAAATCAGATTCACTGGTTCCTGAAGAATCTCCTTTGCTTCCTGGCCCGGTAAAAATGCATCGAAAAGCAGACACTTCAGATGAAAACTCAGTTTTGATCAAAAATCATTTCAGCCGTGAAGACTTTCAGGATTTGCCAACAGAAATCGATCTGGATCTGAAGTATTCTGATCACGCCGTCATTGATAAGAGCAAGGGATTGATCACGGACAGCCACTTTAACTTTACCCAACAACTGAATCTTGGGGAACCAATACACAACAAGGGCGGTGTTAAAGTTTCTTTGATGAAAGTGACCCTAACGAGCCATATTTCGCTTGTCGATGGCGAATTTAAAAACCTCGTGGACACCGAAAAAGTTAGCTTTCCATTTTTCGTGAAACTAGTTGTTCCAAAAAACAAGGCTACCTTTGCTCTTCACGATAGGCCCAGTGGAGTTTTAAATTCCAGTCAAACGCCGTCCCCGAGTCGATCACGTAGAGCCACCGGTTACGTCCCTTGGCGAGAAGTGGGTTCGTCTAATTTCGATTTTGAGCGTCCATTTGCTTTGTTTGAGAAAAAAATGGTTGGGATTGCTATTAAAGGAGAGGGAATGATATGGATACATGACGAGGAGGACATGGAAATAGGAGTCAGTTTTGGTCTTTCAATCGCAGGCAGGACTCTACCTGATATAATTTACCGGAGGTACCGAAGAAGTGAAATGGAGGATGGACAAAGCGGCAAGATAGAGCATCGGTGGAGCAAAGCATTAGTAAGTATTTCTGCTCACTAAAATATAAGAAATGCTATTAGTTAGTGTCTTTGAAATGAATGATCCGCGCGCGTTTGTATGTCAACTCACTTTAAGTGTCCCAAGAATAAATTACTTGAGTTACTGATCATCAGATACTTTTATAAACGACAGGGGTGTCAATGAGGACCACTAGCCGGCCAAAACCGCCAGCTAGTTAGCCATCCTTAGCCGGCTACTTTCATCTCCTTCTACCATAACTGCTAACAAAAATAAGCAGCATCGAATAAAATTGTAAAGCATCCGTTTCCCAGTTTTTAATGACTTTGAACGCATATTAAACATTCGAACGATGCGATGTCGTGGATTCGACGGCATTGTTCCCAGTCTTGCGTGTATTCTAACGAAACAACATGGCGACCGCGGCGGAAAATACCTCTTGAAAACCTCTGGAAACGCCATTTCCGAGACTCTAATTTTCCAAATGTCCCTAGATGCCTCGGCCCTCAAAAAACTTGTACCTTTCGCGCGAGTTCCAAAGCCGCGTACTATTCATTATCTGCCTGCTACTTAAAAACTTACTGAAAGGCCCTGAAACGATCGTTTCAAAAATATAATTCATTGTTTTGGAGCCCTTGTGTTCACAATACTGAATGGGGTAAAACAAGTCGTTTGGATTCCAGAACTAATGGCGGAATCTTCACTTCCGTATGAAAGCTAGTCACACCCGCTACTCATTATTGTTAAACCATGCTCTTGCAAAGAATGATCCAAGCTCTCTAAACATGCCATACAAAACGTTTGAAACGAGTAATTGCCGCCCCCTGCTAAAAACGTTAAAAACGTTAAAACTTAATATCCAATGCCTTCATTCCTTCTTTTTTCTATGCAGTCCATTTCTGTTCCTGTTCTCATCTTGAGAATTGGAGTGGAGTTTAGCCTCAGTTTTGAAGTGAGTAGTCAGCTTCGTTTTCCTTGGGATCAGAACTCAGTCAATCCTGTCAGGCTAACCGCAGAGGTAAATATTTTATGATTTCGCTACTCCCCGTCGAATGTGGTGCTAAAAAACAAAACCTTTAGCGCTTCGCTCTGAAGAAAGGATTAGCACTCTAAGCGCATGCACATCCTCTTCTTTTTAGCTATAGTGCAATTCCAAGGGACACTGTTCAAAATACAGTCCAACCTCCATGTGCGACCACCTCTCGTAAGCGACTACCTCCCATAAACAATTATCCAAAACACAAAAAATTTTCCCACTCAAACCCTTAAAGTTGGAACCTCTCGTCAACGAACACCTCTCGTAAGCGACCGCGGCCATTTTTTAGAATGACTGTTTTGGAATTTTCCATTGTTTTAACTTCTTCTAAGCTACCATCGACACAATGTACTACGCTACGCAGGGCATAAGAAGAACTCTAGAAACAAAATGGAGTTACAGAGATATATCGTGCTCCAAAAATTTCGCGCAATACATTCTCTCCAAAAAGTAGATGTGTCCGAACTTCTCCTCGTGAAAGACCTAATGCAGTTCGACTCTCGTTTTAGGTAGTCACTTACGTGAGGTTCGACGGTATAAAAAGGGTTTTTCTCCTTTATTGCTCCTCCCTTTTACTTCCCCTGCACATTAATTATCACTGAATATCCGGTTTTAGTAAAATCCAACTAGTGGTCTATTATCAATGCTGCGTTCTGATTGGTAGAGCCACTACTAAGCCATATGTTATAGCCCACTAGTAGCGAAAAGCGCCGGCCTTTTGGCGGCAAAAAAGCATTAAAGTCCAGCTTTAAGAAGCTAAAATTTTTTTATCCTCGATTTTTTTTGACCAACTAGTTGGATTTTATTAAAACAATTATTCCTCTCGTCCTCATGGCCTCTGAGTCAATAGCCCATTCGGCCTTCGGCCTCATGGGCTATTGATTCAGAGCCCATTCGGGCTCGAGGTATAATTGTTAAGTATTCTCTGGCTGCCATAATCGTTATAGAAGCAGTTAAGGTTATCTTTCAATAACAAAATTTTGTAACCGTTTCATTATTAGATTGATCCTTCAGCCGAAGTCACAGCAAGCATTGAAGGATACGTGTCAGCATACTTTAACCGCGGAGGTGCATACGGAGATGGCACATTAGTTCGCGTTGGTCTACCTGTGATGCTATCCTATCGTGACAACCGTGACCCTGGGAACAAGTGGTGTGTAGACCTGTCCGTCCGCCTGACCGCTCTGGAGCTGAGTGCCGGCCTTTTCTATCAATGGCGGCATTGGTGGCACTGGGGTACAAGGCATACCCTGTATGAGTTTGGTAAATGGTATGCCATACAGCGCAACTGGAAGGAGCTAGAGAGATGCAGTTAAGTGCGGATTGTAGATCGTCCTTTGCTCGAATTAATCTCCCTTTCCAAATTCTACATGAAAAATTTGATAACTGAAAAAGAAGCTACATAAAACAAAAATCTTGACAAAATAAGTATTAGGCGCGGCTTTTGTCTTGTATTACCTAATGCTTGCTAGTTGAAAGTCACCTTTCGGGGTTTGTCACGGTTTTACATCTTAGGTTAGCCTTAATTATCAATTTTTTATTTGTAATCTGTGTTAATCTCCTTCGCTAAAACATCGCTTAATCCTTCATAGTTAACTAACTCTTGCGTTCGACAATTAAAAAAAGAACAATATTTTAATTGAGTTTAAGGAATGAAATATAACAAAACTAGACCCTCAACATACAAGCAAAACTGTGCCGAATTAACTCCAGGCACAATAACTTTTGCGTTTCTAAATTAAAAACGAGCATAATCATCATTAACCTGACAAACTTAATACTTATAGTTATTGTACCCATTTTGTAACTTTTAGCTACTGCCATTGTTGATTCAATCTGAACAATATCTAAATAAATATATAAGTTCTATCAATTTTTGCAAGACACCTCTGTTTGGTATTCTTGCACCAAAACTATTGAAGTTTGTTATAAATGTTATATGTGAGGACAATTTTATATTTCATTTTACTATAAAATTTAACCTATGAAATTGTTTTTTCAATACGGCTACATCTTCTATGGATTAACTCGTATGCTAATGAGCAAAAATGTAAGCAATGACGTCACGATGAATCCGCCTATTCTTAGTGCTACGGGTTATTTATGGTAAGCAACGGCACACACTGCTTTATGAGACTTCCAGTCTTTTTTCTGGCAGTCTTTTGAGCAGTAAAACACGCTTTTACAACGTCCACATTTTAGCAATTTGACGTTCTCTTTAAGGCATGTTTTACACATTCCCAAAAAATTTACTTTTGGGAGATTCCTAATGACTGTTGGGTCACCTGAAAATATCACGTCCATTGATTGGCCTGTCGTGATTGGTAGATGGGTCCTCGCAGTAGAATGACGAATTGATCGATTAAGTCTTTCGCGCGCACCAGGCAGATCAAATTTTGTCGGGTCAAATGTCTTTGAGTCTTTCAGTTGGATCTGCAACAGGCGCATGCCTTCCCTCTTGTAGCTCTCGTGGATAGATAGGGATTGTAGCCATTTGATAGCAAGATTGAAAGCATCAATTCCAAGTATTTCTTGGTCAAATGGGCCATCCGTTGCCAAATGATTCTCAGGTGGACTAATGCCCGTCCCTCCAATAAGCTCCACAGTATCTTCCTGGCCAATTTGCAAAAGTTTGAGCTGTAAAGTTACGGGTATTGTAAGGTTATGCTGGTAGTATAAAGTGTGCCCGGCCTCCTGCAAAAAGTCTACGAGACAAACATCTCTGTCGTCAATAATTTCCGCATAAAGGGCTTCATCGTTGAACGTCATCATCATCCCAGTTAAATCGTCTTGATAGGGTGTTGTGAACACAATGTCTTTGAAGTTTGATAAGGGTCGGCGCCCAGAGGGATAGCACGTATGCGGGAGGTAGTACATGTATTTTAATGGCATTAACTTTGAATCCCAGTCGAAGACAGGACACAGAACTCGGGTTTGGAACATACGCAGGTTCATATTTGATGGCACTCTAATGTCGCGGTAAACAGGTACAGATGACTGCAGAGCGGAAATGCGAACCAGGAAGCTAGTTCTCTCAAGCGAAATCGCAACACTAGGTAATTTTCTGTTTTCCTGAATGTTCTTCAAAACTGCTTCCTGCAGGGGGCTTAATTTTGTCGTTTTTTTGGCCGAGGACAAACCTTTCACCACGCTTTGAAACAAAAGCTCAGCTCTGTCTCTAAATAGCAGGTAGGCGATCGGACGACTCATGGTTGCTTCAGCAGGCATTGGATCGCTCGTGACTTTATACTGTTCTGGATATTCTGGGTACCAATCATAGCTGTCGTCGCTTTCGTCGTCACTTTCGTCGTCGTTGTCCTCGTCGTTTTCTTCGTCTCTTTGACTCTTTTTTTCTTCTTCTTTGGGGTTTTCCTCCTTGGGCGGCCACGATGGCATATCCCTGCCATCCTCTTTGCACCAACGCTGAAAGTCTAAATATTCCTTTTCGTTTTCTGCATCAAACTCAGCTGGGTAGATCAATATTCTACCCTGGCTGTTGTCTATCTCCTAAACGACAAAGGTAAAACATCGTGTAAAAACTGTTCAGCTTCAAATGTGGGTTCTGTGATATGTGATCATGATTTTATTATTGCATGATTACGTCTTTTATCACTTATATTGATTTATATTCAGTGGGGCTGTAAATTGTGAATATGGTTCTTCATGCACTATTAGCCTTTGTGTTGTTCCCCGACCTTTTAAGGAGGAAGGGTAACGGTAGTATGCACAAATGTTTTATCGTAGACAAATGGTAGACAAACTACAAAGTAACACCTAAACAGAAGGAAATAAAACCTTTCTTGTATAGAAATCAGTTAGTCAACAAACCGTAAAAAACGAGGACAAAACCAAAACAAAGTAAAACAAAAAACAAGAAGTGACGGAACCTGCAACGTGCACACTAAATAACTTTTTTTCCTGAATAGGCTATTTCCGAGTTCCAAAAAATCTCACTTTCCAAGCGAGGCTAAGTGCGAAGCCATTGATATGAAAATGATTTTTAATTATGAGGCAAATAAAACTCATTTTCACAACAAAGGTTTCGCACTTAGCCTCGTTTTGAAAGTGAGATTTTTTGGAACTCTGAAATNTTTTCTGCATCAAACTCAGCTGGGTAGATCAATATTCTACCCTGGCTGTTGTCTATCTCCTAAACGACAAAGGTAAAACATCGTGTAAAAACTGTTCAGCTTCAAATGTGGGTTCTGTGATATGTGATCATGATTTTATTATTGCATGATTACGTCTTTTATCACTTATATTGATTTATATTCAGTGGGGCTGTAAATTGTGAATATGGTTCTTCATGCACTATTAGCCTTTGTGTTGTTCCCCGACCTTTTAAGGAGGAAGGGTAACGGTAGTATGCACAAATGTTTTATCGTAGACAAATGGTAGACAAACTACAAAGTAACACCTAAACAGAAGGAAATAAAACCTTTCTTGTATAGAAATCAGTTAGTCAACAAACCGTAAAAAACGAGGACAAAACCAAAACAAAGTAAAACAAAAAACAAGAAGTGACGGAACCTGCAACGTGCACACTAAATAACTTTTTTTCCTGAATAGGCTATTTCCGAGTTCCAAAAAATCTCACTTTCAAAGCGAGGCTAAGTGCGAAGCCATTGATATGAAAATGATTTTTAATTATGAGGCAAATAAAACTCATTTTCACAACAAAGGTTTCGCACTTAGCCTCGTTTTGAAAGTGAGATTTTTTGGAACTCTGAAATGGCCTATTGCTCAGCCTGTGATCAAGTGGAAGGGAAAAGGAAGAAGGGAAGGACTGGTGGCTTTTGGTTAGAATTTAATACCTTATAATCTTGAGCATGCTTCGGTTTGTTTGTGACATCCAACTCTTTAGCATCAGTCACCTTCCTTTCACTCTTACTACATATATTCATCTTATCCGAAATTTGCCTGCAAAAGTTAAATTAAAAGTGTGGTGACTACATGCTGAGTGTTGGCGTAAACTGGGCAATGATTGGGAAACCTTGCATTCAGTTCAGAAAATATAAGTAAGATATCATCCTCGTCGGTGAAGTAAACGACAAATAACGGGAAAACTTGGTCATCAGGTACAAAATCACGTTTGCCGTTTGGCGTAAACGTGAATCGTTAAGGTTGTGCTACGGCTGAATCGAATTCATCAGAAGCCCCTCTTAAGTTCTTTTCTCTCTTCAACCTTTCCCCCGAGAAAACACCTGATACTTAGTCAAATTCTCTTAGTCAGAGTTAGCCACGGACGAGGTAAATGATATATAACACATCTGGAATGGGACATGCCAGCCCCAGGACTGTGGAAGCCATGCTGCTGTGTTTTTCACAACCTTAGTGAAGAGAGGATTCCGAATGACCAGTGTTGCCCAAATTCAGATTTATTTCGGACAAAGAGTTGGTGATTTCTAAACCTCCAACGTAAGAAAAAAAGGAACAGTAACTCCGGTGCCGTTAGTCATACTTAAATACTTTTTTTTCATAGTAAAATCCAACTAGCTGTCTATTATCAATGCTGCGTTCTGATTGGTTGAGCTACTAAAAGGCTATATGTTATAGCCCACCTGTGGCGAAAAGCACCGGCTTCGAAAACCAAAACAGTGGCAGCTGAATCGCGTTTTGGTAGCTAAAGTTGTTTTGTCTCGATATTTTTGACCAACTAGTTGGATTTACTAAAAACAATTATTCCTCTCGCTCTCATGGCCTGTGAGTCAATAGCCCACGAGGCCGAATAATTGTAAAATACCTCACTTTTATTTTTTAATTATAAACAATGTAATTCAAGTTATTTTTGATTGCAAATAATGTAATCAGTAATAGGGAAGAGCTACCCTGTGGATCTGTTAAATAAACGTCATCATCATCATAATATCCCTTCGATCCCTACTGACTAAAAATTGAATTCCTTAGAGGGGGTGGGGCGATATAAAATGAAAAGTAAATATTACCCTAACAGGCCTTGTGACATCAAGTTCACCGCTTCAAATTTAATATCATCGAAGCTGAATGTGCTTCTGATGTAATACATCTCAAAACTGTTCGAATGAATTGTCTCTAACCTGATTCGATTTTTATTGTAGTCCAGTGTTCGTATTTAATTCTACTGTATTTACCCTGACGACTGATTTCAGCAAATGTTCACTTTTTATCCAATATTTATATCTATGGGCATTTTTGTCTTGAAAATAACAAGGAAACGCGAGACCTCAACGATTACTTCGTTAAATAGACTTCAAGTCGATACGGCCCCCACTAGCAAATACAGGACACGGTCGGAAAGCCTGGCAGCCACGAAGGACAATCGAATCAGAAAAGTCGCTGTGCAGCTGGCGTTAAAACTGTAGATGTAAAGTAGTGCTTTAAACTGCTACTACTGATACGGAAGGTATTGAAATCAAAACAAACAGAGCAAAGCCCTTACCTGAAAGCTCAATATTCAGCGATATGAGACATAAATGCAAAGTGGCTCGGAGAAATTCACGTCGTTTAATCGTGCTCGAGTCGATTTCTCTGAAACAGGTTTCTTGTGTGCGCGTGCGCAAACGTTTACGGGGAGGGGGTGGGGGGAATTCTCGTCCCCAGAGCCTGTCGTTTCTTGGTCACGTGGTTGGGAAACGAGGGTCGGTTACAAATTAAGCCGTGTGGCTCTGGGGACGAGAATGGTCGGGGGAGGGGACGAAAAGGAAAGACCTCTCAAACGACGTTTTGTGAGGTCGAGTAAGTCACGGTAAGCCCGATGTATATGGGTCGAAAAATCACACAAAAGCCGATTTTGTGGGGTGTCTCGACCGAGAGTGCGGTGGAAATCAAGCCTGAAACGCTGAAACGCATTGAAAAGTCATTACACCCTAATGTCCTGCTGTCACTCATATGTGCTAAGAAACGAAGCAAATTTAAAAAAGCAAAGCAGTGGCGTTTGGATAGAATCGAAGATGTTTATTTTTAGAAACAGCTTCTCCAGCTCTGCAAGGTTCCAAAATGTCTAATATGGTACGTGTCGGTATTTTCTGAGTCGTTGTCGTCTATTATCAGAAAACGTCTGAGGTCGTGTGAGGTCAGCTTGAACAACAAAAGAAATTCTATAAAAGCTCAAGCTCGTTTTGACGTCTTTCATTATTTTCCTTGATGTACGATTAACTCAGTGATGTCTGCGACAGCTATAAAAGGTGTCGTGTACCAACAAATGATTTACTTTAGAAGCACTATTTTTTCAAAATATACTTTTCAATCTTCTTGACTGTTATATTTCTGGGTAGGTTTTTTATTAACAATCTGGTACAGCTTTTGGTAATTGTTGGGTCTACAGAATTAACAGCTTAAAATTGAGACATAGATGCTCATTAGCTCTTTGTGAATTTACAACGAATTATACAGTCGCAAAAAGCCTGTACTCCGTTCTTGAGTTTTCAAATTTATGAAGATGGCTCCTTTACTGGAGCGATTCTAGATTCTAAAGTACAACACGCGGTTTCCGGAAACAAATTAAGATCTTACGCAAACAGTTTTACTGACTGCTGGATCACTAACGCTCTACTGACCGCTGGATCAACTCCGGCTCAATTTGAAAATCCCTGAAGCACATCGCTGCATTCGTCCTTTCTTCCTCTGCAGGCTGCGTCACACAGAGCCGCAACTTCCCAACTACTGTAACTGAAAGGTAAGCAGCGACTCGAAAGAGCAAAAAAAAACTAAAGGATAACAAAACTATTTAGGTGGCTTCCCTTAGACTTCTAAATTTCCAGTTCTCAATAATATATGTCCACTGCATGACTAGGTTGTTTATTAATTCACTCCAATGTGAGTTAGATTTACACAAATTTTCTTGGAGCCAATCTAATGCAAATCAGAAAGAAGAAGGTAAATATAGATTCGTAAAGTACGTTTACATTAACTGTTTGAGAAGAAAGTAATCGGAATCGATATAAAGGGAGAGTGAATGGTTTGGTTACATCGTAGCCATGGCAACATGGAAATGGAGTCTTTTGTGGCCTTAAGATCGGAAGTAAAAAACTTACGATATTTCACAAGAGTTACGATAGAAGTGAGTTGAAGGACGTACATGTAACGCCAATAAAACGTGACTGGAGAATTGGAATAGTGAGTGTGTCTGCTTCTGAAATGCTTCTTAACTACTTGTTGCACACTGCTCTTTGGTGAAGCCTCTTAAAAGTATTGTACTCAAGTGATGTAATTAATTGATCTTATATCGTGTGCTAACCGGCGCACTAATCACTCTGAGTCACTTTTGATCACTTGAAAATGTATGTTGACTGGCGAACGAAACGTCAAGTTTGTATAAACATGCGAAAGTTCGCAATGTTTATCACCGCTGTTTGTGTTTTATTCTCTACCAAAATACTGTGATTTTGGAACAAATCACGAAATGATCACGTCAACCTAAAAACTGTTTAGTTGAATTTGCATTTCACCATCTGTGTTACAAAGGTAACTGTCGTTTTTCTTTTCTTTCTATTTCTTAGCCTTTTTCTATTCCTGTTCTCATCTTGAGGGTTGGGGTGGAGTTCAGCCTAAGTTTTGACGTCTCTATCCAGCTGAATTTTCCAGTGGAGCAGTATTCTCTCAATCCTGTTAATTTAGCTGAAGAGGTGAGTACTCCATTACGCGGCCTGTCCAATCCTCCGAGAGGTACACTCATATCCTGTCCTTAACAAACCTGTAGTTGTTACTCACCATTTAACTTCTTTTTTCGCTAGATTGACCCTTCGGCCGATGCAACAGTGAGTATTGAAGGATTTGTTTCGGCACATATCATCCGAGGAGGTGTCTACGGCGACGGAACATTGGTAAGGGTTGGTCTTCCTGTGACACTGTCCTACCAAGAAAACCGTTCTCCTGGGAGTCAATGGTGCACGAGTCTGTCTGTCAACCTGACCGTTCTGGAGCTGAGTGCCGGCCTTTTCTATCAATGGGCGCACTGGTGGCACTGGGGTACAAGGCATACCCTGTATGAGTTTGGTAAATGGGATGCCATGCAGCGCAATTGGAAGGAGCTAGAGAGATGCGGTTAGGCGCGATTGATGGATGTCGATCTAATCCGTGAAAAACTTTGTATGCAGCATAATTATCCGGAAGGGGCTGAGTGTTAAAAAATATACTTAGAGGAGGATTCTAATCATTGTAGTCTTTTCTACGACAAAAATATCAGTAGTCAAAGACAATATTATAGTTTCAGTACACAAGTACACCTTTACAGACTTGCGGAACTATCACGAAGTGCACTAATAGTGATCATAGAAGTGTCTATTTTTCGCTCCTTTGATCGACTTAGTTTTAGAAAAATCGCAAGCTGCCATTTCATAGCCCTTTAACACATTGTCAAATGATGCTTAGATTGAAGAGGCTCAAAATAATATAGTTACAAACTTTCTTGAGTTATAAGGACATAATAAAATAATGCCAAGAGGTTATCTTCTGTCCTTGGTCTTATTTTCCTAACTATTTCTCCGTTTCTGATCAGCTTACAGTACCCCAGCTAGTTCTTCATGAGCCACTAACATTGACCATAATTTGAACAACAACGTGACGTTTGCGATATCTACTAAGATGACGTCAGTACAGTACAGGAGATTGACGGCAATGTTATTAACCCTTTAAGCCCTAAAAGTGATCAGCATCAAATTTCTCCATGTAATATCAATGGTTGTAAAACAAAGTGGTCATGAGAATTATGGAGATGATCATACAAGATGAATTTGCTTGATATTTTATCAACTTCTCCCCTCTACTTCTGTACGAAATGCCGAATAGGGGCAACAAATGAGAATTCAAATTTTGATCTTAGGGTTTAAAGGGTTAATACGGGCGGGGAAAGCGGGGAACGCTTAGCGAGCGTTACCCGTGCTAGAGGCCCATTCCCCGTTTCAGTAATATCCGGCTGGAATGTCTAGGAACGTCGATTGACCTCTTTAAATGCGGTTTTGTAAATTCTTTCAACATTCCCCCTTCCCACTCTCAAAAATAATTTCAAGTTCATCTCCCATAAAACCTAGATCTCTACAAGTACTCTACTCAACAAGAGCATATTTTCCTAACCTGAGATTCAGGCCCAATTTTAGCGGTTCTCATACATTCTCTCTAACGGCTGATTTCGTTTCGCCTTGCCCGCAGGAATGTTATTAAAAAGCGAAACGAAAATTGAGCCTGATCTCAGGTTAATATTTTCCAGAATAATACGATGTGCTTATTTGAATTAATTCAGAGAATCAACTCTTCCGGAGAATAAATTAGAAAGCAACGAAATGAAATACTAGAGTGGATTACACAACAAAGTTTCGTAACGGAAGGCTGGGCCCTGAAGTCCAACCTTTCACAAGTCGCGCGCGTCTTATTTTCACTTTGCTCGTTTTAATACGTCCGCATTATACTATCTGAGAGCCTGGCACAGACTACACTCATGGCAGAAAAGGGTCCCCTTGTCCCATTACTTTCCACAAAAAGTACCAACTTAAAAACAATTAATGCAACACTTAATTTCTACTAACCTTAAAATGAAGTCAATGGGCGATGTTATAGGAGAACAGCAACTTCTGCCTGAAGAAAGGTTAAAAAAAGTAAGCTAAGCCGGAGTTTACGTTGTGCCGGACCCATGTAAATACCTAACAGATATACCTATACCCTTTCATATATATAGGCTCGTGAAAGCTCTACCCTTTCATATGCCTGAAGACTGAAAAAGGTACCCCTTAATTTCGAGCAGTGTATAGGCCACTCCAGGGATTACCCGCGAGGGGCATGAAATATGTTCAACTGAATTCATAAAAAAAACACTGAAATTGAAACTAAGGGTGAAAGCGTTTAGCTTCTTCACAGCACATTAGTAAATATTCAGAATATTTCAAAATGTGAAGCTGGGAAAACTACCATGTGCCTATCAGCTCTCAACCATTTGCCATTTGTAGTCGCTAAGACAAATTGCGTAGGAGACAAGTTACAGCAGAAATAACTAGTTAGCAACGGTTTGGTAAACGGGAACAATAATCCCATGTTTAAAAACATGGGACAAGTTGTGTTAAATACTGAAATAAAAAAAACCAGTTGATTCCATTGTAGAATTTGTCACATTTTCAGTTGCACAAGCCATATTTCGGGTTACTGATTAGTTTGCTTCCTCGATCGAGTTATTGTCTACATGTAGTCTATAAAAGCTCAAGCTCGTTTTGACGTCTTTCATTATTTTCCTTGATGTACGATTAACTCAGTGATGTCTGCGACAGCTATAAAAGGTGTCGTGTACCAACAAATGATTTACTTTAGAAGCACTATTTTTTCAAAATATACTTTTCAATCTTCTTGACTGTTATATTTCTGGGTAGGTTTTTTATTAACAATCTGGTACAGCTTTTGGTAATTGTTGGGTCTACAGAATTAACAGCTTAAAATTGAGACATAGATGCTCATTAGCTCTTTGTGAATTTACAACGAATTATACAGTCGCAAAAAGCCTGTACTCCGTTCTTGAGTTTTCAAATTTATGAAGATGTCTCCTTTACTGGAGCGATTCTAGATTCTACAGTACAACACACGGTTTCCGGAAACAAATTAAGATCTTACGCAAACAGTTTTACTGACTGCTGGATCACTAAGGCTCTACTGACTGCTGGATCATAAAAAAAGGTCAGCGTCGGATTATCAACTCCGGCTCAATTTGAAAATCCCTGAAGCACATCGCTGCATTCGTCCTTTCTTTCTCTGCAGGCTGCGTCACACAGAGCCGCAACTTCCCAACTACTGTAACTGAAAGGTAAGCAGCGACTCGAAAGAGCAAAAAAGACTAAAGGATAACAAAACTATTTAGGTGGCTTCCGTTAGACTTCTAAATTTCCAGTTCTCAATAATATATGTCCACTACATGACTAGGTTGTTTATTAATTCACTACAATGTGAGTTAGATTTACACAAATTTTCTTGGAGCCAGTCTAATGCAAATCAGAAAGAAGAAGGTAAATATAGATTCGTAAAGTACGTTTACATTAACTGTTTGAGAAGAAAGAAATCGGAATCGATATAAAGGGAGAGGGAATGGTTTGGTTACATCGTAACCATGGCAACATGGAAATGGTGTCTTTTGTGGCCTTAAGATCGGAAGTAAAAAACTTACGATATTTCACAAGAGTTACGATAGAAGTGAGTTGAAGGATGTACATGTAACGCCAATAAAACGTGACTGGAGAATTGGAATAGTGATTGTCTGCTTCTGAAATGCTTCTTAACTACTTGTTGCACACTGCTCTTTGGTGAAGCCTCTTAAAAGTATTGTACTCAAGTGATGTAATTAATTGATCTTATATCGTGTGCTAATCGGCGCACTAATCACTCTGAGTCACTTTTGATCACTTGAAAATGTATGTTGACTGGCGAACGAAACGTCAAGTTTGTATAAACATGCGAAAGTTCGCAATGTTTATCACCGCTATTTGTGTTTTATTCTCTACCAAAATACTGTGATTTTGGAACAAATCACGAAATGATCACCTCAACCTAAAAACTGTTTAGTTGAATTTGCATTTCACCATCTGTGTTACAAAGGTAACTGTCGTTTTTCTTTTCTTTCTATTTCTTAGCCTTTTTCTATTCCTGTTCTCATCTTGAGGGTTGGGGTGGAGTTCAGCCTAAGTTTTGACGTCTCTATCCAGCTGAATTTTCCAGTGGAGCAGTATTCTCTCAATCCTGTTAATTTAGCTGTAGAGGTGAGTACTCCATTACGCGGCCTGTCCAATCCTCCGAGAGGTACACTCATATCCTGTCCTTAACAAACTTGTAGTTGTTACTCACCATTTAACTTCTTTTTTCGCTAGATTGACCCTTCGGCCGATGCAACAGTGAGTATTGAAGGATTTGTTTCGGCATATATCATCCGAGGAGGTGTCTACGGCGACGGAACATTGGTAAGGGTTGGTCTTCCTTTGACACTGTCCTACCAAGAAAACCGTTCTCCTGGGAGTCAATGGTGCACGAGTCTGTCTGTCAACCTGACCGTTCTGGAGCTGAGTGCCGGCCTTTTCTATCAATGGGGGCACTGGTGGCACTGGGGTACAAGGCATACCCTGTATAAGTTTGGTAAATGGGATGCCATGCAGCGCAATTGGAAGGAGCTAGAGAGATGCGGTTAGGCGCGATTGATGGATGTCGATCTCATCCGTGAAAAACTTTGTATGCAGCATAATTATCCGGAAGGGGCTTAGTGTTAAAAAATATACTTAGAGGAGGATTCTAATCATTGTAGTCTTTTCTACGACAAAAATATCAGTAGTCAAAGACAATATTATAGTTTCAGTATACAAGTACACCTTTACAGACTTGCGCAACTATCACAAAGTGCACTAACAGTGATCATAGAAGTGTCTATTTTTCGCTCCTTTGATCGACTTAGTTTCAGAAAAATCGCAAGCTGCCATTACATAGCCCTTTAACACATTGTCAAATGATGCTTAGATTGAAGAGGCTCAAAATAATATAGTTACAAACTTTCTTGAGTTATAAGGACATAATAAAATAATGCCAAGAGGTTATCATCTGTCCTTGGTCTTATTTTCCAAACTATTTCTCCGTTTCTGATTAGCTTACAGTACCCCAGCTAGTTCTTCATAAGCCACTAACATTGACCATAATTTGAACAACAACGTGACGTTTGCGATATCTACTAAGATGACGTCAGTACAGTACAGGAGATTGACGGCAATGTTATTAACCCTTTCGGCCCTAAAAGTGATCAGCATCAAATTTCTCCATGTAATATCAATGGTTGTAAAACAAAGCGGTCATGAGAATTATGGAGATGATCATACAAGATGAATTTGCTTGATATTTTATCAACTTCTCCCCTCTACTTCTGTACGAAATGCCGAATAGGGGCAACAAATGAGAATTCAAATTTTGATCTTAGGGTTTAAAGGGTTAATACGGGCGGGGAAGGCGGGGAACGCTTAGCGAGCGTTACCCGTGCTAGAGGCCCATTCCCCGTTTCAGTAATATCCAGCTGGAATGTCTAGGAACGTCGACTGACCGCTTTAAATGCGGTTTTGTAAATTCTTTCAACATTCCCCCTTCCCACTCTCAAAAATAATGTCAAGTTCATCTCCCATAAAACCTAGATCTCTACAAGTACTCTACTCAACAAGAGCATATTTTCCTAACCTGAGATCAGGCCCAATTTTAGCGGTTCTCATACATTCTCTCTAACGGCTGATTTCGTTTCGCCTTGCCCGCAGGAATGTTATTAAAAAGCGAAACGAAAATTGAGCCTGATCTCAGGTTAATATTTTCCAGAATAATACGATGTGCTTATTTGAATTAATTCAGAGAATCAACTCTTCCGGAGAATAAATTAGAAAGCAACGACACGAAATACTAGAGTGGATTACACAACAAAGTTTCGTAAGGGCAGGCTGGGCCCTGAAGTCCAACCTTTCACAAGTCGCGCGCGTCTTATTTTCGCTTTGCTCGTTTTAATACGTCCGCATTATACTATCTGAGAGCCTGGCACAGACTACACTCATGGCAGAAAAGGATCCCCTTGTCCCATTACCTTCCACAAAAAGTACCAACTTAAAAACAATTAATGCAACACTTAATTTCTACTAACTTTAAAATGAAGTCAATGGGCGATGTTATAGGAGAACAGCAACTTCTGCCGGAAGAAAGGTTAAAAAAAGTAAGTTAAGCCGGAGTTTACGTTGTGCCGGACCCATGTAAATACCTAACAGATATACCTATAGCCTTTCATATATATAGGCTCGTAAAAGCTCTACCCTTTCATATGCCTGAAGACTGAAAAAGGTACCCCTTAATTTCGGGCAGTGTATAGGCCACTCCAGGGATTACCCGCGAGGGGCATGAAATATGTTCAACTGAATTCATAAAAAGAACACTGAAATTGAAGCTAAGGGTGAAAGCGTTTAGCTTCTTCACAGCACATTAGTAAATATTCAGAATATTTCAAAATGTGAAGCTGGGAAAACTACCATGTGACTATCAGCTCTCAACCATTTGCCATTTGTAGTCGCTGAGACAAATTGCGTAGGAGACAAGTTACAGCAGAAATAACTAGTTAGCAACGGTTTGGTAAACGGTTTGGTAAACGGGAACAATAATCCCATGTTTAAAAACATGGGACAAGTTGTGTTAAATACTGAAATAAAAAAACAGTTGATTCCATTGTAGAATTTGTCACATTTTCAGTTGCACAAGCCATATTTCGGGTTACTGATTAGTTTGCTTCCTCGATCGAGTTATTGTCTACATGTAGTTGCACAAAAAAAGCAGGTAACCGCATGCCTAGAACCATGAAAGCGGGCTCAATTTCTTACTCTCCATGTAACAACAGGAACAACAGTCCGTACAGCTATTTTCTGCCGCTTCGTGATAGAGAACACGTTGAGAAAAAACGAAAAGTGGCAAAAATGTCAGTAGCAATAAGCTAAATCTGAGTAGGATGAAAATTGTATATAGCGCGAGCGTGAGAGGACTTTCGTTCAAATCCCCGCTTCACGTGACATTCTTTTCGCGGCTTCGCCATTTACGAATCATCATATCCCAGGCTAATTTTTCCTCCATTACACTGTAAAAACAAGCTAAATCTCGCTAAAGATGAAATGGAAGGGGAAAACATTAATGTGGTTTAGGGTTTCACAATTATCAAGCAAAAATTCATTTGATTTTGCTTTGGTTTGACGTTTTATAATGAGTAATGTTGTTTTCATCAAATATTTGGTTTTGCGAAGTAGATATCATGTCACAATTTACTTCATTAGACGAGATTCTGTTCTCTATCATATTTTTTTCAACGGCATTAAATTTGCAGTAGTTAACAAGTTTAAAGTCATATCGAATTACGCTCCTTTTTTGGTTGGCCCGAGGAATAGTTTTCCCCACCTGTTTTCCCACAGTAGGAAATTCGTACGTCATCCGTCGCTTAGCAAATACGGTATCATGCTGATCGCGGGAAAAAGTCGGATGAGCATCCTTATTGACAACTGGATGCGTTTCATAGATCTGAAACTTACTGATTAAGTAAGGTAAGAAGCAAATCACTAACAACGAAAAACAGGATAGCAAAATCATTTTAAGGTAGATGCTATTAGACTGACTCTGCATGATGAAGTTTTTGTTCCTTTTAGGGGACTAGCGCTATGAAGAACGCAAATACTGTGAATTCTGAAATAATGCATGCTAATACGCAATAACATTGCAAATATAGTGCAGAAAATGTGATTTATTTAAGAAGAAGAAAATCATGAATCTCTTCAATATTCTTCTTTTATTTTTCGTGTTGGTTAGGTCGATTCTATGTGCTCGATCGAAGTTTGGGGTCTCGGCTTAAAGGCTTATCCATGCCGTTATTGCTGTTTTGTTTTCTATCAAATCCACCGTATGGTTAAAAACCAAAAATCTTTTAAGTAGTACATGTCTTTGTTTCGAGTGCGATATCCTGTATTTTGCGTCAGAACTAAAATTTACGAAAGTATTAAATTGTATCTCTCGTTTCTCGAAACCAATATGATCCAAATTATCAAAAGGGAATAATAGATGAGCTAGAGAAAAGACGGTCAGTAAGGTATTTACATATTAATTTTACTTACAAATCAGGGAGCAGGTGCGTTATTTACTGTCTTGTCGATTATTCCCTGATTGCACCTACATGTATTCAGTGCACGATTGCATCAGTTTGCTCCGCCCGAGTAAATTTCTTGTATTGCGAACAACTCATGTAAATAACGAAATTTTACGTTCTTTTGCCAAACGATTCCGATTCCTATTGCTTCATCAAGCACAAGGATTGCTTCCTCGTCCGTAGATGCGTTCTGTGGTTAATCAAACAAGGTTCGACTGAATAACACCGATCGTCTGATACATATAAGTGACTTTGTATAGGTAATAGCATGATTTGTAGTGATATTTCGAAATTGTTATACGAAATTTCACGAGCCGTTAGGCGAGTGAAATTTCAGACAAATTTCAAATATCACGGCGAGTGGTATTTATGCCAAATATCACGTACAAATCATGCCATTAATTGTTTATACTACCGCCCGCAAAACGTTTGTAATTTTCAAATGTAGGTATTTCAAATTAAGCTGAAATACCACTGCTCTAAGCCAATCAAATTGCAGAAATTTCTCATGTAGTAGTATAAAAAATCGAAAATGGCATATGTAATTGTAACTGATCGGATGAATAGATCATCTGGGTGAGAAACTTCATCTTGACGTCTGTAGGCTGTACGGCAGAGGGACCAGAGGCCTGGCTTCACTTCCTTTAATATATCTATTTAAAGTAATTTTGCTGTAAGAAATAAAATAGTTAATCGAGGTCATTTTACTTCCAACATTAGTGATCGAGTCAGTAACCATACCAAAGTTCAACCCGCTCGTTCCCAGGGTTCTCTCCTACCCGTCCCTACGGAGCGAGGGAGAGAGAGAGGCCCAACCTCATTCCCAGGTTATCTCTCCTACCCGTCGAGAGACCCTGGGTGGGTCTGGTCACTTGTCTCCCACAATCAGGGATAATGCAAACAAACGATCTGAGGGAGGGGTAGGCAGATAAGTGTGAGATTTGTATCTACAGAGCGTAGACAGGTTAGTTGAAAGTGAAGCCATGAAACTGTGTACGTACCTAGCCTCGACCTCGAACGCCGAAAATCTTACGAGAGCCGAATTCGATAATTGTTATATTATTCACTCAAAAAATTTCTTAACATGCTTACCTCCTCGTAGACTTTCTCTTAAAACTTTGGCCTATTTCTCGAACGGTTTCAGGATATAGACAGATATTTTACCTTGCAGATACTCCTCAAAAAGGCGATAACATCCATCCAGCAATTTGTTTAACGTATTTTTGCGTTTCTTGAATTCAGTTAAACTCAGAAATTCAGCTATTTCGCCTTCCAATAGACGTAAGCGCGCCTTTTTTAGTCCACTTTTGCCCAAGCAGCCTCGTTGTCAATCAAATATACCTTGGATCAGCCTCCGACGTTTCCAAACTAATATACCATCGAATCGATGGTATATTGCTCGCATCTTCCAAATATCGTAAGCGTCAGTTGGTTATAAAGAATTAGCCGGGGGATTTGAGCCAATCAGAAACGCAGAAATATTTTGAATGAATAATAATGAAAATTATAGTTAGAATTTTTTTAGTGATAGAATCATGATCTCTAAGAGTTGAAGCTCGCATCTGAGTTACGTCACGAAACCCGAAGACAGGAATGACTCTAGTACAGGGTGTTTCAAAAGTTCGTTCCGATTTTTTATTCCCATAAATTTCACTAATTGTTAAAAAAAACCTTTCGTAAAACTTAGTATGTTATTCATTATTCATTTAACATTGAATAACTGAAATATTAGTAACCATAATGTCTTCTTGTATGTTTTCTGACATTTTTACATTTCAGAGCGTCAAATCGCGTAGGAAGCCAAAACAGTGAGTCATTTGACGTGTATGGGCATCGTCACACTAACGAGGAGTTCCTACGATTGGTGTATAACATTCTCAAGCAACTTCTGCCGACACTACAACACGACCTCTACGAGGACGTGGATGGAGAAAAATCAAGCTCAGTGGTCCCCGAAGAATCTCCTTTGCTCCCTGGCCCCGTAAAAATGCACCGAAAGGCGGATACATCAGATAAGAACTCAGTTTTTATCAAAAATCATTTTAGTCGTGAAGACTTCCATAGCCTGCCAAAAGAAATCGATCTGGACCTGAAGTATTCTGATCACGCGGTTATTGACAAAAACAAAGGAATGATCAATGAGAGTCATTCCAACTTCACCCAACAACTAAATTTCGGGGAACCAATCATACACAACCGGGGCGGTTTTAATGTTTCCATGATGAAAATAATTATAACGAGTCATATCTCACTTGTAGAGATTAAAGCTTTCGCAGACTCCGAAAAAGCAAGCTTTCAAATTTTCGTAAAGCTAGTCGTTCCAAAACGTAAAGCTACCTTTTCTGTTTACGAAAAGCCCAACATGGTCCCAGCGAATTCCAGTCAGACGCCTTTGAATGTTTTCCTTCCCAGCCGATCACGTAGAGCAGCAGCCATTGACGTTCCTTGGCAAGAAGCAGGTTCCCCAAACTTAAACTTTGAGCACCCATTCACTCTGTTTGAGAAGAAAGTTATCGGAATGGACGTAAAGGGAGAAGGAATAGTTTGGTTATATCGTAGTCAGGACAACATGGATATGGGAGTTCGTCTTGCCCTTACTATCGGAAGTCAAAAAATTACTTTATTTCACAAGAGTTACGACAGAAGTGAGTTGGAGGACGTACACATAACGCCGATAAAACATGAGTGGAGTATTGGGATAGTAAGTCTGCTTCTATATCGCTTCTTAATCATTTGCTGCTGTTCTTAGGTGATGCCTCATTATAAGTATTGCACTCAAGTGTACTGATTAATTGATCTATCGTGTGCGCACAAGGTTCACACTATAGTCAATAACTTAACAAAAGAAAGCCAGGGTGATTAAGTGAGCGAGTGAGTGAGGGGAGGGAGGGGGTTACTCCATGCCGTACGCTCACAATCAACCAGTGAATAACTGTAGTAACTGAATGAACAAACAAAGGAAAGAAAGAAAAGTGAGCTAACGAACGAACGCACAAATGAATGAGTGAGTGAGTGAGTGAGTGAGTGAGTGAGTGAGTGAGTGAGTGAGTGAGTGAGTGAGTGAGTGAGTGAGTGAGTGACTGACTGACTGACTGACTGACTGACTGACTGACTGAATGAATGAATGAATGAATGAATGAATGAATGAATGAATGAATGAATGAATGAATGAATGAATGAATGAATGAATGAATGAATGAATGAATGAATGAATGGACTCAAGTGTATTGAGGCATGAAATTTTTCTGATATGGAAGACCCCCGGTAGAGATTTTAAAATCTGACTGACTGACTGACTGACTGACTGAATGAATGAATGAATGAATGAATGAATGAATGAATGAATGAATGAATGAATGAATGAATGAATGAATGAATGAATGAATGAATGAATGAATGAATGAATGGACTCAAGTGTATTGAGGCATGAAATTTTTCTGATATGGAAGACCCCCGGTAGAGATTTTAAAATCTGACTGACTGACTGACTGACTGACTGA